ATGTGAATATAAACCTTATCTTAAACCATTCTGGAAACCTGACGGACTAAATGATGCACATTACCGTATGAGGGTTGCTCGACGTGCATGGCTAAATAACGGTAAACCCAGGGACGAAAACTCAGATTCGCGCATCTCTTATAAAACTGAAAAGAGACACTTCAGGCGCCTCTATCGAAAATCGAAAAGGTCCAACAAAAAGAATACCCTAAGGGAAATTGAGAGGTCAGCTGAACTTGATATAAATTCTTTTTATAAAACTGTTAGAAAACAACGAGGGAGGGTGGCCGAGATACCTATACTTAACTATAAGGATGAATGTGGTTCTACACCCTCAGCTATTTGCAGATTATGGGGTAAATATTTTTCAGATTTAGCCAAACCCTACCATTCCGAAGGATTTGATGATGTATTTAAAGAAGATATAACTAGTAAGGTACAGATATTTAAACAAGTACGAGAGAGGCCTGATGAGGAATTGGAAAAAGAATTTACATGTCAAGAGATAAGAGAGGCCGTCAAATCCCTCAGCAGGAATAAATCCCCAGGTCCGGATAAGATTACAAATGAACATATTATCTATGCAGGAGAACATCTTATTTATTCCTTACGTATACTTTTTAATCATATGATGCAACTACAATATGTACCTTATGATTATAGACTTGGTATGGTCATACCAATATATAAGGGGAAGAATGAAAAATCTGACCCTCGAAATTATAGAGGTATTACTCTCACATCATGTCTCTGTAAACTCTTTGAAAAAATACTGCTCAAACGTATAGAAGACAAACTATGTAGACTTAACCCAGACTTTCCTGATATGCTACAGTTTGGTTTTAGAAAAGAACATGGAGCTATTATGTCAGTATTTACTTTGATCGAAGGCATTCAGTATTACATACAAAGGGACTCTGCAGTCTATGCAGCTTTCTTAGATAATGAAAAAGCATTCGATAGGATATGGCACGATGGATTATTTTACAAACTACATAAACTGGGCATTAGAGGTAATACATGGAAATTACTACATCATTGTTATACAAATAGTTATGCTTATATTTCCTTCCAAGGTGAACAATCAGACACATATATGGTTCAGCAAGGTGTTGGCCAAGGCAGAGTAATCTCTGCTTGGTTTTTTCTTGTTTTTATAAATGACATCATTACAGCCCTTAGACAAGCACAATGTGGCATCCGTGCATATGGTATGGATATTCCTGCAGTCTTGCTTGCCGACGATACTACACTTATTAGCGCATCACCGAGAGGCTTACAAACATCCCTTGATATTGTACATACATATGCCTCAAGGTGGCGCCTAACATATAATCCATCAAAAAGTGCAATAATTGTGTTCACCAAAGCAAAACGCAAGGGATATAACTGTCATTGTAAACTTGGTAATATACACATCACTACAACTGACTCTACGGTGTATGGTGGAATACTTCTAACATACAATCTGTCCTGTAAAACAAGAATTGAAAAGTACTGTCAGAAAGCAAGACAAAATATTAACTCCCTAAGATCTTTAGGATTAAATAGTTATGATCTTCATCCAATTTCAAGTGTGAAAATATGGCTCAGAATGATACTCACAACCAGCCTTTATGGATGTGAATTACTCTATGACATCAAGGGTCAACATGCCGCTCTGTTGGAAGGAACGCAAAGATATTTTGCACGCATTGTACAGGGTCTTGATAAAAGATCTCCCTCAGAATCTACTATTTCGAACCTTGGACTTTGGACAATTACTGCATATATTGATAAATGCAAACTTTTATTTCTTGGTCGTTTATGCAATCTGAACTGTAATAACTTTGCAAAAGATATTTTTTGCGCGTCCATTGCAAGCCCTGTCAATTCAAAGACAATCTGTGGAGATCTTAAATCAACACTTGATAAATACAATCTGAGTCCCTACCTTCGTGCATATACTCAGTACGGTACTTTCCCTCCAAAATTGAAATGGAGAAATCGTGTTAACGAAACTATATGCAAATACGAAGAACAATCATGGCTCACAAATGTATCAAATAACGCAAGCATGTCCCGTTATAAGAGAATTCATACGAAATTAACATACCATGTACTTTGGCAATTAGCTTTTCTGTACCCGGAATATCGACCTGCTTTACAACTCTGTGTGAAAGTCTCATCACGTAGTAAACTTTCGAAAGAGTGCATGCTCTGTAATAGGCATGCTTTTGACTATGACAGCCACGTTATTTTACATTGTGAAGCGCTGATATCAGAAAGAAATGCGTTTTTCTCTTCTCTCATTGACGTACTTGACGTTCAAAAATATGTTGATTTTGAAATGCAAGATGAAACAGATATGTTATCAGTCTTATTTGGGGCTGAAACAAAATTTACTCACAATCTGGATCAACACACCTGGGAAACTATTATACTTCAGTTCTCCTCGTATCTGTACAAACTAAGCATCTTCTGATATATATCTTCTAGTGAAAATCTGTCATCATTTAGGTATCTGAATTTGATAAACTGTGTGTAATTGTAAATATGTTGTGCCTTTTTTTATTGTGTTAACTGCGTGTAATTGAATATATATTCATTGTAATCTTCGGAATCGCATCTGGAGGAAATAAAGAATCTCTCTCTCTCTCTCTCTATGTACATGGATGTGTCCCGTAAGTAATCAGAAACATTCTGGCAATCTGTGTACTGTTATGGGTTTACCATGTTTTCCAATGTAAGAGTGAGTGAGTGAGTGAGTTAAGATTTACAGTCACATCGGCAGTATTTCAGCCATATCGTGACTACACCAACTTAAACATACATACGAAATATGTGTAAACTTTCTAAAATACCTGTTAACAAAGGACAGTAAAATAACGAGAGTATCACAGACATATTTAAGACTAGTAGTGAAGGATAAAACGTTATTACAATACATAACAATACATGATAAAAACGAGCTAGAGATCGCCAGCATCCAAAGATAGGTCACCATACTAGGGACCGTGGGGACTTACAATACTTCTGCTTCCAATGTAACAAAGAGAATAAGTCAGAAATGCAGATAACTACCGTCGTAGTTGTGCGTGATTTAGCGTCAGTCATGGCGTCACACAGGACAGAATTTACCACATCATTATATTTGAAATTCCATAATTAGTGCAACGATACTCTTCCCATGAATATTCTCAAACACGTGATCTAGCCAATGTATGCAACAATTAGAATTAGTACCTCTAAAAATGCTACACAGTGTAAAATCTGAATTTTACTTGACAATGTTTACATTTCAGCAAGTACAGTTTTCCGAGCACAGTGTTTGTTTCCACACCTAATTTATTTTGAAAATGATTTCATCTAGATAATTTGCATTGGTGACATTTGTTTCTAAAATGTATGAGGACTTCAGGGATGCATGTAGAGCAGCTGAGTTTGAAATATACCTGATCGAATAGGCGTCTCATAACCGGCATTTTGTAAACACAAACCAATGGCGGAACGTACACTTCGGCGTTCGTGTATGCGAATTTTCCAAAACATTCTAATCGATTCTAGGCTATCAGCGACGTTTCAAAATTATCATTATTGATTTGAAACCCGACATCACTAATATGCTATTTTTCTACATTAATTTTACGAGTAAATATCCGATATTTAGATTTCTAAACACTCAGTATACTCTCTGGTAAATAACGACGTGAATTGTGATTTGGCGAACTTTACGATGCACCTAATTTTCAGAAGCCTAAAATGACAGTAAATGATATAAACAGAAGGGGGAATACAAAACTGTGGTGCGTATTAGTTTGCGTGATGGGTTTTGAATTTTATTCGACTTCGAAGTGAGTGTTGACATAACAACAGATAATATAACTCATAATAATAACAAACAAACTCGCAGACGAGTTTGTTTATTATTATTATTATTATTATTATTATTATTATTAATTACACGGACCTTTGGTGCAATACAGACGTAGGTGAACATTCGACTGAAGCACGAGCAACTAAGAATGACTAAAACTCAGGAAAGTAGTCATTCATCATCTGACCTCAGGTCATCACCATGGATTAGCCAATCACGGGCCTGGAATTCAATCTCGCACATATGTTTTATACCAGTTATCTCAAATAGGTTTCTCACCCACAGGTGTGTAAGAAAAATGGCTCTAAAGTGATTTACATATTTGATACTGATCCGTTAGCACTTGGGTAATGTGATAGTCTCTACAATTTTCGATTTGTTCTACATCTATTGTTTACAATACTCATCCTAACAACCCAAAGCTCTTTGTATTAATTTTAAGGGTGATATGTTATTTAAAGACCCCACGTGTTAAAAGTGCATCTTGTACTTATCAACAAATAGAACTAAACCGTTTTTTCAGCTTCAGTGTCACATTTCATCTGCAAAGTAAGCATGTTTCTTCTGTATAAACATACTTTAAATATTAATAATATATCAGTATTGAAGAGATGTGTTGTATGAAGACATTCGTTGTGTTAAATCTTTCTTTAGAAAAATATTACTTATGAACTACTACTTCGGAACTATTTTTATTATATATGTAATAAAAACACCTCTGCTCTTCATATTTCCGAATATAATCATTTTAGTTATATTTGCATTTATATCAAATTGCTACTTTTCACAATATTCATAAGAAAGTTGGGGCGGTCGGGTAGCCTAGTGGTTAAAGCGTTCGCTCGTCACGCCGATGACCGAAGAAGGTTTGATTCCCGACATGGGTACAGTTTGTGAAGCCCATACCACGTATACCACACTACAACATACAACACGCATCAGACCACACCATGCCAATCCACACCAACACCACACCAACCAAGTTTTGACTTTGAGCTTCTCTAAAAATTGAGGGGGTAGCTTGGTTGTAAGCCGTTCGCTCGTCAAGCTGACTTCTCAATTTAATATCGCAACGTAAACGTGCCTGTGTGGTGTGCCCCGTCCGAATGATGCGGGGTAAAACCGTTTTCAATGATCTCCCCATCTAATACCTGGGAGTCGTTTGGCGAGTCAGGGGACCCTGGATGTGATTGCCTTCTGTGAGTTGTGTTTCTGTCTTGAGGCGCAGGATAACCAACACTCGGTTTCTGAATGAACGGTTACACAGTAGGTAGAGGATAAAGTTGATCGAGAAGTTCAGTTGCTCAGTGAACTGAAACCGAAAGGAGGAATGCATGAGAAAAATATATTATTTTTGAGTGAGTGAGTGAGTGAGTGAGTGAGTGAGTGAGTTTAGTTTAACATCGCTTTGAACAGTATTCAAGTTATATTACGGCGTGTCATCTTGTTTTGTTTAGAAAAGCCCAAAATGACGCAGGCCTCAAACATTTACCACTTTGATGACAACCACGAGCAATGGAGCTGACAAACTTAGAAAGATAACGCCACAGTCTTAGGTTTCTGGCGTTGCCAAGGGACGCTACTCTGCACAGCGAATTGCCGCACCTTAGACGACTGGGCCACGCATACCTCTGTAATGTTTTTAATTTGTTGTTGTTGTAGACATTGTAATTGCATATTTGAATCTGCATGTACAAATAGAACCAAAGTAGGTTGAATGTTATTACCTTCACAGTAAATACTTGCAAGCATGGGAATGGGTAACCATCCGTGCTTCAGATTGAAAGCGTGTCATCGATGCTTCCAATTATTTCATGAAGCAGCATTCAATCCCAGAACAATATTTCTTCTATCAATACGTCTATCAAATTGTTCTTACCTGTATCACAGCTCTTGCAATGGACATTGTAAGGTCCTTGGTCTCATATAAACTGATGTTCAGGCTGAAGCAGATATTATGAAGGATGCATGTTGGAGTAACGAGTATAATGTAGGCAATGGTAACCCCTAACAACATGACCGTGGTTTGAGACGCCCTTCTGTTGTTACTTGCACCTGTATTACTATGTGCAACTGATAGTTCCATCCGTTTGGCCTGGTGCTTGAAGAGCTTATAACAAGTGGCTGGAGTGAGGATGATCAGAATGGAAGCCGGAATCAGAGAGAACACCATCGACCCGGCCACCAAATACGCCCGGGCGAGGACAGCTGTGTCAGGGGTGGCGTAGTTTGGAACACAAACACCATTGATGATCATCGTGGAGAAGGTCCATACACCTGTGAAGATGTACACTGCCAGGAAGATAGTGAGAACAACGAGAAGTAGGTTCCGCCTTTTGCAAATACTGTTAGCTTTCAGTGGGAACCAAACAGCAATGAAGCGTTCAACGCAGATGGCGACAATAAACCAGGAGGATGTTATCTTGGATGCTTTGTGAAAAATGAAAAAAATATGACAGCCGCTTTCAGTGAGGGCACGGATGTCAAATCCGACGAGTTGTCTGAAGAAGATGTTGCTAAAGGGGATTACCATGCTGTAGGTGGAGTCGGAGATGGCTAATGCGACGAGGAAGGGGCTGCAGGGAGAGTTCCAGAATGTTTTACTGAGCATCACAATGATTGTGAGACAGTTGCCCGTTAGACTGGCGACAAGGAGGGTAGGCACTGTTACATAGCCCACGTATTTGATAACCGTGGTGACTGTGGTCTCATCTGTTGCTGCTAGTGGTGCATTAGGGGAATCAGGAAATTCTTCATGACTTCTATTGTCAGTTCCATTTGTGTTAGTGATGGGTCCGTTAATTCCGACCATCGATGTGTCTTTGCTCTGCTCATTCAATTGTTTGGGCGGATCGTTGTGTTTTACAGGCCATGCACCGCTGAACAATGTAATAAACAGGACTACATAGCATCCAATCTGAGCCATTCTGCAAAGAATAAATATGTAAAGTCATTTATCTTTTCAAATGACACAACGGAAACACAAATAGTATAACCAGTGAACGAGTGAGTAGTGTTATAAGGTTAAAAAAGTATCTCAAAAACATTAGAAAAAAGGTAACAAATAAAACCGTTATAGCTGCAATGAGGAGTTGCATTAGATATAGTTTGTGACAGAGAACTTTTAGTTCGAAAGGAATCAAAAGATAAAAGACATTTATCACAAGGTATTGTTGACATTTCATATTTATCATTGGATTGGTTCCAGGTTATCGTCCATTAGTTAATGAAACAAACAGAGACATTCAAGATATATTTCATTTGGAGCATCCGGAGCGAGTCACAAAATGAATACTATTATTAGAGAGATGAGCAATCTGGCACGTATTTTTCCGATTACGACACACATGAGTTCATGGTCAGATCTAACTTTCAACGAATCAAAATGAAGTATTGTGACATGTGACAAAGACAGGCCAGGCCCGAACACTATAAAATGATACTTTAACATTAGGAGAGGAGAGCGCGGTTTGCAATCGATCGAGTCGAATCCCAATCGTTCTCCCCAGTTTGGTCAGTCTGATCCTGTCCTGTATTGATAGATGGGCTGAGAGTAAGTAAAACTATGGGTATCAAGCTGGTATTGCGTTTCTTTATTATGCGAATATGAATGTTGATAGAGACAACTTGGAGTAAGCATCGTTAGACCAATCACTCCTTGACGGAGCCGAGCCGCTGCGGACAAGGCGAGTTGCAAAGTCATGGCGTAATTGACCATGATGACCAGGATCGGCAATACTTTTAGTAACTGTAGTAGGGTCGTACTTGACGCCCGAAAGCAATTACGACAGTAGCGTTCTTATCATATTTAGAAGAGAAGACATCCAAGACGGACATATTGGTATGATACCAAGAATATGTAAAATTACTTCATGGATACAATGTCAATCAGAACCCTCAGATTCGTAACTGTCTCGATTCGCGACATGACTTCGAAATCCCAGGAATCCTCTCAGGAATTATTTTAGTATTAGTATAGCTACGGGTCAACATCGCTGCAGGTGCGATGAGGTAGCAATAGTGGTTATAGAGTCTATTCGAAGGCCAGGTTCGATTCCCCACACGTGTACAATTTAAAACACGGTATAACACATAATCATTTACTCACCATTGCTACAACACATACGTACATATGTGTGCAGATATTGTATATATGAGACATAATAATAAACATAATGGCTTACATTGTATTGCGTTAACAGATATGATGATATAAACTGACGGCCAATAGAAACTTTAATTACCACTTAAAAAATGAAATTGCAAACACTTAAAATCATAAGTTCAAACTACATCAATGCAAAACACATCGTCCAAACACAACAATGCTCTATGCAGAAAGTGATATTAAAATTTCGTACCTCAAATCACGATTTGCCCGTTGAGACTGGCCGATGGCAGAATATACCAAGAGAAGAAAGACTTTGTCAACGTCGTGATTCAGTCTCGGTTGGAGATGAGTTTCACTATCTTTTCAGATGCGAAGCTCTACTCCAACAAAGAATTCGGTATATTCCAAAAAAATACTACTTGTGGCCAAATATTATTAAACTCTGTAGAACTGTTTCACCCAAAAGGCTAAAAGATATAAGACATTTGTCAAGATATATTGTATGTCTATGTAAGTTAATTAGAAAGAACCGTTGACCCTGTCACTTGTCATGTTGATATCTTTTTGTATTTTCGGTGGTGGTTTCCTTGAGAAATAAACTGAATCTGAATCTGAATCTGATACCCCCAATGTACGCGTATATACTTACTCTGACTGACTGCTACAAGCTGACAGCTGTTTGTGCAAACCAAAGGCGACTCTCTCACATGTAGCTGGATGTTTTCCCCGCTAATAGACATGAGGTGGCAAAACATGAAGGTGTTACATGTAATTTGTAGTGCGGGCTTATGATTCAGTACTAAACATACGTGCTTATATTGGATTTGTCCTCATTTCTTAAAAGATGACTTTGGTCAAATGGATGAACACATTCATGATTAAAGTAACAGAGCGTGCTTTTTATTAAACCCATACAATTCGATAAATTAACATTACAGAAACGTTTATTCTGTTTGGCATACCGTCCCCCAAACACCTCTTGTATACACTGGAATCACTTTGAACATGTTTGAACATGAACATTCTGAAATAAAATCTCCCCCGGGCGGATATGTTTCGCGCCCCCCTCAGTATAAAGTCTCCCCCCCCTGATTATTCGGTTTGTTGCAACGTCTTTTAGTACTATATTCTTTAAATAGTTATCTTTAATGTAAGGAGGGTTACTTTAAAAAATAGATTATGAAATATGGTCATAATGAATTGATATTTCAGCATATTTTATTTGGTAACTGTACCTTCCATCCTAAAATAATTATAAGACATAATCATACCAAACAAATTTGAATAAAATGACTTAATGTAACAAATACATGTACGGTTACTGTTGTAACAGAATTCAGAAATCTTATCAATCCCCGCAAACATTCGGTTATAACACTAACTACGTAAAAACTGTCAATATATCCACGCGCGCCTCCAGCTCAGGCTGTCCGTTATACTCTGATTTTAGATCTAAAATATATTCCTTAATACAGGCTACGATATGAAAATGGTATCAGTGTAATATCAGTGGCTAGAATATCACGGTGCAAGCAGGTTTCTGTTAAACATACAACATTATAACTATCTAATTCAGCACTGATAAAATCTACTTTGTCTTTAAGACTGCGTACGTTTAGATATATAATCTTTAAATCTGGACTATGCAAAGGTCCTGGATTCGGATGGATATCACCGCAGCAGAAGAGAAAAAGTACAACTAAGAATGATAATCGGAAATTATATAAGCAAAGTAACCCAAAATATAGACTCTGAGAAATGTATATCATCTTCCCGAAATGATTAGCATGTAGAATAGATTCATCATATAATTGTTGCAATCGGGCTGGCGGTGAATCTGAGAAGGGATTCATACGTTATATACAACTTTAAAAAAATATGATTATGAAAAACGAAAGGAAAAGTGCCCCTAAAACCTAGAGGAATATGAAAATGTGTAATGCTAAAGCACGAAGACACGATAAACTGTACCAACATTACAATGTTCCCCGTTATGCATGCTTTACCTGGGTTACATACGGGTGATCTAAGTTAGAAATATATGACTGATATAAATTCTTTAAACACGGTAATATCGAATATGCTTGGATTATCTTTTTTTTCAAATGTGCTCCATTCAAGAAAAGTTATATAGAATTATATATTTACTCTCCCCCATGTATTTTGCTCTTTTATGTAAATTAAAGCTTTTTCACCTTACACATTTTAATTAAAGATTCCTTTGTTTTGATTTTAATGCAAACAAACCAGGCTTTTGAAATGCTATACAAAAACTATGCTTAAAAACATACAGAGTTTGTTGTTTCTAATACAGTTTTTGTTGTCTGTATACATTTTTTCAATATACCAGTTTGAGTCTACATGTGAACACAATCGATGGTTGAAATGTAAGTCTAAGAACAAAACATGAACTAATTCTCAAGAACTCTGATGTATAAAATACTTTCATCTTTGATTGACTGATGTATTTTCAATCTTTATTCAGCACTGAAGAGGCCACAGGCCTATAGTACGAAGCATTAAGTTTATGAATAATCAGCATTGATTTTGACTCCATAAACTGTCATAAAGTATTCATAAAGTATCAGGGGTCATTTAAACTTGCAAAATGATTGACATACCCCTTTATAGAGCGAGGATTGGGCTGTTTTCCCACCCGATTGACTGATATTACAACATTCACATGGTTTAGAACGGTACAATGAATGGTAAAGCATGCAAATTACACTAATACACGATATTTCATAAGAAAACATCATATCTCCGTTAAAAAATAAAACCAATATTTATGAGTCTACATATTGATATAAGACTTTATCACTGTATCCAATTCCAAAATATAAACTTTCGGACAGTTCAGTTCACTTACTTACTTACTTACTTACTTTGGAGATTTAACGTGCGCTTTCCGACTGATGCGTATTTCGCACACGGGCCCGGCCAGGCCATTTAATGTGTTTCCGAAAGGGGCGAAAGTGGTGTGTGCAACCCAAGAGGGGGCTTTAGGGGTTGCTTATATAGAATTTGGGAATTTTGAGATTTGGAATAGATGCCGATGGGGTAGGGGAGGAGAACTAAAGGAGTTGGGTATGGTGGATTTTTGTGTGTTTATGTAATTTTGATTTGGTGGATTATAGTGTTTTTAGATGCGTTTTATTAGTTCCGTTTTGATTAAGAATACGCCTAAGGCCTTGAAGTTTTCTAGTTTATTTTGTGGGTTTAGTATTGCTTCTAGAGTGAGAGCCTGGTTTAGATTGAGGGTGGTTTGTAATGCGGTTCGATGTGTTAGGTAGTGTGTGCAGTAGATGAGTGCGTGTTCTGGGGTTTCTAGTTGTTTGCAGTGTGGGCAGTTACCTGTAGTATGTTTTTTTAATTTTTTTAGGTGGTTATTTAGGTTGGTGTGTCCTGTTTGGAGTTTAGTGATTACTCTGTCGATTTTTTTTGATGGATGGTGAATTTTTGGTTTGGTTAGTGGTTTGCTGAGTACTTTTTTGATTTGGCTATTTGAGTTTAGATATAGGTTATGCCATTTTTTGGTGATTTTTTGCTTATTTACACTTCTAATTTCTGATTTTGAGATGGGTAAGTTTAAGCTTATTTCTGGGATTTTGAGGGATAGTTTAGCTGCCTTATCGGCGTTTTCATTACCGTATATTCCTACGTGGGCGGGTATCCACAAGAAAGTTATTTGTTTGCCTGCGTTAGTTAGGTCGTTGGAGCTTTTAAGTATTAGATTTATTAATTTAGGTCGGTTTTGGGTATTTTTGTTTTGGAGTCGGTAAGTATTAGGATTTTATTGTGGTTTTTGGATTCTT